CGTGGGTAGCGGAGGACCCGTGCTCTCCCCACTGGTGTCCAGTGAAGAATCCTGGAGCCCTCTCACCGATTCCCCCATCTGCCCCCCTTTATCCCTGGTGTAACGTTGATTTGCTTCCCCCTCTGCTGAACTGCCTCTCTCCCTGCTTGGCCCTTCTCCAGCATCATTTGAGAGCCTTCCCTCCACCTCAGGCTCCGATGTCAGTTCCCTGACAGTGGCCTAGGAGAGATACATTATGTAGTGATGTGAGAGGGAGTCTTCTTTGCTATAGCATCCCTACTTGTCCTCCCCTTGGAAGCCCAGATGGCACCATCATTGGTCTAATTTTGGCACCAAGTTAAGACCTGGCTTTTCACTCAGACATTTCTGGGGTGTTAACTGCAGTTGCATTTGTGCAGCTAATGTTGCCTTTAGTGCTAATTATTGGGTTTTATGTGGAATATTGATTGATGTTCTGTTGTGTTCCATTGTCATTTTATGGATTGGAAGCTGCCCTGAGATAACCTGATACAGAGCAGGTTAGAAATAAAGTCATGGTAATGATGATGCTTGTTCACAGCCATGCCAACTGGATATGGTTGTATAAAAACCCTCTAAGGAATTTTGACTTGAAATTTGTTCTCCTAGTCCAAAGCAATTTTAATGGTCTGGGGTGTGTGTGTTTTTTTACTTTATCCCACATGCACAGCCATACTTTCTGTACTTGCAATAAATTCAGTCATGAGCCCTCTATATTTTGGCCTGTTTCAGTCACAGTTGCACTGCCTCATGGACTTTGTAATTTCAAGGCTGCGAAACCAGTACATCTCATTGTTTGCAGATTTCACTTATTTTAATAATGCATTGTGGATTTCTTTAGCCTCACAGTGCAATCATGTGCATAGCTAGGCAGAAGTAATACCTGTTGAATTCAGGGTGGCTTTCTGCTAGATAATACATAGGAATGTAGCCTTAAGGCTGCTAATTCTCGCACGTAATAACATGCTTTATTCCCTAGTTAGTCTCAATATTTCCACAGTGTGCTGATGTTGTAGATCCCATGTTTTAGATTTTCTCCACAATTGTGGGGCAGAATTTCCAAATTTTGGTCATAGTTTCATTTTAGGATTTTGTTTAATGGTGATCCCAATTCTCAACTTCATAAAAGAGGACATATTCGGCACTAAACCTCTCTCTGGCTGCAATCTGCACAGACTCACAAAAACCATTTATACCTGTTTAAAACACTTCCTTTTTAATTTTGTTAGTTTACTAGTGCCAGAAGATCTGCTAGATATGAAGTCGTAAGGAGTTCAGCCAGATACTTCCTGGAAACATGGTAATTCTCAGCAGCATACACTTCCCTCACATTCTGTTGTATGTCTTTCTGAATGTCTGGCAGCTGCACATTTTCATCTGATGTTATTCAGAAACATTTAACTCACCAGCTGCGGCCAATATTTATATGCTTGAAAAATGCTTCCCATTTGCAATCAGCAAATGGACGGGCATATATGGGGTGACAGTAAAAATGTCATCTCACTTGGGAAGCATGCAATAGTAATAGGCGAAGAATCACAGCAGTACAGATTCGAAACTATATGTTGAGAGAGAAAGAACTGACGTCTTCAGAAACTGAAATTTATTTTTACTCACACAGCTGTTATAGGTAATGGCAGAATGAATGGCATTGCTCTGCTTTATAACCATCTTAATGTAAAGAGAATGTAGCTGGCCTTTTCTGACTCGGTACCCGCCCCCCCATGCTCCTATCAATTTCATATCTTCCAGACAGTTAGGCAGAAATTTGGTGTGGTCAATGCACAATGTCAGTGTCAGCTGCTTTTAATTGTGTTCATACCTTGTTTCAGGACTTTTTCAAGAAATGTGCAAGCATATATATATATATATATATATATTCTTTTTTATGCTGTTAAATCTTTTTTAGTTTATTATATATGATTTTCAGTGATATACATTTCAATAGTTTTACAGTCATTTTAACATTTCAAAGCTCAACTTCCTTCCTCCTCTTTTTGCGGTTCATTAAATTTATTTTTATCATTTCTTCCATATTCTAAATAAACTTAACTTATTCTTTTATTCGTCTACTTTATTTATATACTCTTATGAAATTGCAGGTTGTCCTTATCTGTTTGTTTGTAAATATTCAATAAAAAATTTCCATTCTTTTATAAAGAGTCTATTATCTTGATTTCTTATTATTCTGGTAAGTTTTGCCATTTCTGCATAGTCCATTAGTTTTTGTATCCATTCTTCTTTCGTTGGGATTCTTCTTTCCATTTTTGGGCAAATAATGTTCTTGCTGCTGTAGTTGCATGCATGAATAAATTTCTATAATGTTTAGGTAGTTTTATCCCTATAATTCCCAGAAGAAAAGCTTTTGTTTTTTGTTTGGTTTTTACAAAAGTTTTTAAACATCTTTTTCAATTCGTTATATATCATTTCCCAGTAAGCTTTAACCTTACTGCAAGACCACCACATATGATAGAAAGTACCTTCTTTCTCTTTGCATTTCCAACACTTATTCAATTTTGATTTATATTTTTTTGCCAGTTTACTCAGTGTTAGATACCATCTATATAACATTTTCATATAATTTTATCTTAAACCATAGCATGCTATAAATTTTATATTTGTATTCCACAATTGCTCCCACGATTCCATATCTATATTATAACCAATATCTGTTGTCCCTGGTCATAATGGATTGCCTCTTTTAATACCATTTTAAGCCTATTTGCTAATATATCTGCAAAAAGTTTATAATCGTTATTCAACAAAGATATAGGTTGATAATTTTTGAGCTGCTCAGGATCTCTATCTTGTTTAGGAATCAAAGTTATATAAGCATTCTTCCAGGGTTCTGGCAGCTCAGCTGTATTTAAAGTCATATTCATAATATCCTTTAAAGGTTGTATTAGGTAATCTTGTAACTACTTACAATATATTGCTGAGAGCCTGTCAGACCCAGGTGTCTTCCCAAATTTTGCCTGTGAGATGGTTTGCTGTAATTTCATCATTGTCACCAGTCCGTTCAAAATTATCATTTTATCTTATGGTATTTGAGAAATTCCACTGTCCTCTAGATATTTTTGCATTTCTTCTATATTACCCTGTTTAGCTCGATATAGATCTGTTAAAAAAAACAAAAACCTCACAAATTGATCTCGTATTTCTTTAGGGTTTTCCACAACTCTACTTCCTATATGAGTTTTTTTTTGTGCAGGATTTTTCTTGTCTTTTCTTTATTTGCCATGCTAATAGTTTCCCTGGTTTTAATTGTTTCTGTTTTAACTATTAAATTTTCCACTCTATTTCTTGATTTATTATCAATGAGAACTGTATTTCCAGTATCTTATCCTGCTTCACCGTCTCTTTTCAAGGGGAATTTATTAATTCTTTTTCTTTTCTTTTTACTTCTTCTAAGATTTATTGCTTTTTCAACTCTCTCTTCTTCTTTTGGTATGTGCTTTGCTAAATAAAAAAGCCCTGCATAATCGCTTTACTTGCATCCCAACCTACCCTTAAATTTGTCTCCTGATTTTAATTAATTTCAAAATAATCCTTTAGAATTTCCCCCTTTTCTAATATTTCTTGTTACATCAGAGGCTACAAAGTCCTTTCCCAATCTTTTATTAATCAAAATTATTCTGTGTTTCTTCACAATGTGTGTGTTTTGCAGACAAATCACATCCAAATTTATCTTTTTTACCTCAAGTTCAATCATGATTCTTTTGGTTTTATTACTACGTTCATTTGCATTCCAAGTTAAGATTTTCAGCTCCATCTTGTTCTTTATTTGTTTGTTTCTCGTCTTAACCTTTGTTGATTCTTCTTCTTCCTGTCCTGCTTCCAAACCAAACGCCCTTTCTCCTCCTAATTCTTTTCTGTATTTTCTCCAGAATTTGTCTGCTTCCCAACGCCTTTGTTTTCTTCCATGATATGTAAAAGATACTCCTTCAGGTTATTCCCAATGATAAGGGATTTTGTTATATCTCAATGTATGTGTCAAATATTAAATTTTACCCTTTTCTTTAATAAACTCATCAAGATTACTTTCAAAATTATTATTTTCTGCTCATCGATCTGGAAGTTTTTCCGATAGTGCATCTGTATTACTCCATCTTTAATTCTCTTTGAATTATTAGGAGGTTCTTTGGCTGCCATTGCCTGGCATGGCTGGGTCCAATTCAAGGCCTGTGGAACTGTGCTGGAGGCCTCAGGTAAAGGAGAGACAGGTGGCTGGTTCCCTTAAATTCAACAAGTGGTGTAGGTTTGTGGAGTGACTTTCCTTCCATCCTACTGGTAGGATTTGAAATCTAGAAGGCATCAGCTCAGGAAACTGTTCCCAAAACCATATCTGAGCCCTGGGATGACTGAAGTAGCCTCTGGTCATGTGCAGAGTGTCTTTGCCCTCACCACTGAAATGTTGGCACCTTGTGAAGTAGTGATACAGATACTTTTATGGAGAAGGAATTGTGATTGTAATGTTTATGTACTATTTTAATGTCTGTTTGTAGAGCTATTTTGCTATATTTTATGTTACCCTCCCGGGATCACTTTGTGATGAAGGGTGGGATGAAAATGAAATAAAATTTTAAGAAGGAAGAGCAGGGTTCCTTGGTGTTATCCATGAGTAGTTCGCACCTAGAAGCTGACTGAGCAGTCACACAGGCTTCCTACTATGATGAAATGTGCTGTATTTTTATTTAAATCAATTAGCATATGTAGATTTTATGCAAACCAGTGCCCTCTTCTATGGTCATGAATTTCCACTTCTGAAAGCATTTCTACTGAATTAAGTTGAACTTCCTCCCAAGTAAATGTGTGCAGAACTGCAGCCTTATTAGACTAATTTATTAAAATGATTATTTCCTGTCAAATGCAATGTGTAGCTGTGAACATAGATAGAACTGGGTACACAGTGAAAAAACATATTTCATAGAAACATATAATTGTAGACCTGGAAGGGACCAAGTCCCTGCAATGCTGGAATCTTTTGCCCGACATGGGGCTCAAACCCACAACCCTGAGGTTAATAGTCTCATGCTCTACCAACTGAGCTATTAAAGATCGCATGCCGTCTTTGGAATTCCAAATCTCAGCTTGCATTCCCTCTCTTGGTATTGCCTCTCCCCCCTCTCCTCTTTCTGTTAGCCATGGTGTTCAAGACCTAGCTGGTGTGTATCTGTAGATGGGTCAGCACCTGAGGAGAAAGTGCTGTTTCTAATCCTTGCAGGTGAGCTCATAGAAGCAAACAAGTTCCCGATCACTTGGAAGGGTGATATTTCCATTGTTCTCATCCTGTAAGCTTTTGTTGCACACTGAACATTTGATGCCACTGATGTCCTTGAGTCGGAAGGCATGTGCACTAACAGAAAAGTGGGTTTATCACGGACGAATGACATCAGCCTGCATCCTGGAGAGAGAGGAATTCAGGATGCAGAATGCGAGGGAATAACATGTTAATCTTTGTTGAACATCAAGAAGACTTCCAGATCTGAGGCTTTGATTTGGCTTTTGAGAGAGATGAGACTGCCGGACAGAGATCAGATCTGAATCAAACAACAAAGGTCAAGCTGGATCTGATTGTTTTAGTTCAGGCCTTTCTCCAGCCGGGAATAGGAAATTAGGGAGTCTGTTCATAAAGCTTTTTGTGTAACATCCCTCACCCTCCGCCCCTTCCAGATGGGCAGGAAGATATTCTCTTTCTTTTGTCATAGCAAAATATGCAGCAGCAGAGCAAATTATAAAACAGAACCATGTCACGCACTGGGGGCTGCATATGGCCAGACACAAGGAAGCTGACTATAAAGAAGCAGGAAAGGTCAGGACTAACCTAGAGCTGCATATGAAATAACTGCAAATGACTGTGTCCTCCCACCTTACCTGTTTGCTTAAATGAGAGGGGAAACATCTGAACACATTCCAAAATGTGAAAATCACTATCGCTTGTAGTTAAGACGGCAACATCTGGCATATGGAATATTACCACGTGAAATACTTGAAGTGGCAACGAATAATATGTTAGGTAGATTCATTCATTACTTTCTATTGTGGACTTTGGAGTGCCAACTTGAATAAAATATTGGGAGACCCAGGTAAACCCCACCCTGCATAATCACTTGATGTGCCACACGTACACCATTTGAATGGCAATGCACATCAACTTTGGGGCCCCCTGCACACTCTAATATATTTTCGGGGGAGCGAAGGGCCCCTAAAAGTTGGCTCCTATGTCCTGCTCAGACACTGTTTTGTGTAAAGGTGGAGTATAAATGTAACAAACAAGCAAACTCTAAAATATGCAACTCTTCTGGTGAAAACCCAGAAGGAACAGCTTCGCAAAGGAACTGTTTCAAACATGAAAGCAGATTTACAAACGAAACACGGACAAAAAACCATTTCAGACGCAACACCACGAGCTCCTTCAGATGGCCTATTTATTGAACATTCATCCTGATGTACACAGCTTCCAAGGTGGATGGATTATATCTGGTCTTTATTGCGGATTTATTCTGATTTGTTTGCAGGGTGGTTATATGACCATAATTAGTTGTCCTGCATTCATCCATCCCAATTTGCTTGCGGGGAGTTTTACATGCCTTCCCATTGGTCATTCATTCAACCCATACTTTCCAATGCATTTCCCCTTCCCTTTCCAAAACACCAAAGATCTGATACTTTTTTTAAAAGTGGATTTGTTGCACTATAGTAACAGAGCACTTTATTCCATTTTAATTGCAGAAACTTAGATTTTTGGTATGCACTTGAATCCTCCTGCAAAATAGTGGCAGCCTTGAGACCCCACCCCACCCCCAGCATTTAATGAATGCATGAGTAGGGAAGGCAGCATTGCACATCATGCTCCACCCAAGCACACCAGTTTGTTTAAACTAAGCTTCTCTGCATTGCAGGGGGCTGGACTAGATGACCCTCCACAATTCTATGATTCTATTATTCTGATATCCAAATTACATGATAGAAAGGGGCAGAGGCTGCCCCTGTGATGTGGCTCAGTTCCGTCCGCATTTTGCCCTTTTTGTTTACTGCTTGTGGTCTTTGGTTTTAGCAGACTGACATGCAGAAATGAAGCTTTGCCTATTAGTTTATCTCCATTCCATTCAATTAGAGCCAATGGGATGCATTTTTCAAGCCTAATTGCCATGCATGGCGGTGACTTTCAGCAACAGAGGCACAGCAAACCGGGATGGAAAGCTTTACCTTTTCTCCTCCCCAGCTGTGATGCCTCTGAAAATGCCACGCACACATACTTAGCAATCATACTGTTATGTGTGGGGCAGGTCCAGGGGTTTATTGTTGGGCACATGCATCCCAGCAGAGGCCTGACTGACAGCCTCTTTCTTGCTGATGCTCCCTGTCCTTCTGTCTTCTCCAAGGATGCAAACAGTGGCACAAGTGCAGAGACAGACCAGAGAATCTTTATTTGCCTTGTGTTCTCTGTATGGGCAGTTGCACAGTTTAGGCCCAGAGAAAGCTGGCAAGCAAACTGGCAGTTGTGACAACACTGAGGAGTGTTGGAGGTAAAAGGATAGCAATCAGATAATTACTAAATGTTTAAGGGAATCGCAGAGGGCATCTTGCCCAAGGACCTTGCAGATCCTGGGGCAAGCACTCAGGGTGGGAGGGGATGTGCAAGATGAGTAGCAGTGACTAAGAAGGGTGAGGAGGGACTGCATGTGAAGACACCACAGACCACATCTGATTTAAATACAGTGCACATCTGTCTTAAAAGATTCACCTGTTAAATTTCTATACTTGTCAGGTACTGTTGCAAGAACAGAAAAATGTGAGCAGTGCTAGCAAGAAGAAGTGGTGGATGTTTCATTACTTGGAACCACATAAGCAGGCCTAGATTGCATTTTGATGAACGCATAAAGGCCCAGCTGCTATCATGGTTGTATATGAGGAGCAAAGGTACTCACCTTATTTCCAGGATTGGAGTCCTCTAAAACTGCCCTAGTTCATAATTTGAGGGCAATGTACCCAGCACAAGACAGGGGCATAGTGTGACAGGAGCCCTGTCAATTTCAATGAAGTTTTAAAAATAGGTACCTATTTGTTCCAAGAAAGAGTGACAGAAGAGCTATCTTGTCCACACTGTGAGAAACTGGGAAGAACAGAATGTCTCAGCCAGAGCAATGGATGAGAGTACATGCCCCTTTCTTCAGTCATGCTGCCCCTTAGTGTCTGTGAATTAATCTATTTCCCGTGTTTGGATAGGGAATTGCATATCATGGATCAGAGCTGGGGAGAGGGAAGGAAACCCTTTTTTTTTTTAGCTTTACACCCTCATCATTCAAGGTAGATTCAAGATGTACCACCCTTGCATAGGTGAGGATGGCAGCAGGTGTGTTTAGCACAACTTTGCATTTAATCCACCTTGTGACCTAGGAAAGCTTTTGGGGATGCCTTAAGCGTCCGCGTTAAGCCCTTGAACAAATCCCTTTCAGCAGTTAGTAATTATCTGATTACTATCCCTTTAACTCCAACACACAGACAATTACACGGCAAATTTCCTGTAACGACATGGCGATCATACAGCCTTTCACATTCTCTGATAATTCCATTCTAAGATACTGCGAAAAGGTTAATTTCTACAGGGTCCCATGTGTTACCTGTCTATTCTTCTCTTACACATACAACTTCATTCCCCATGCTGTGACTCTGCCCAATGCCCAAACCATAAGAAGGTCAACTACATTTAAGGGTCTCTGCTATTTTATTTTTTTTTAAAAAAAGAAAAAGCCAGAAATACATTTTTTGCTCTTTCAGTAATTTTGTCCTACAAGCTGCTGTGCCCTCCCCTCAGGGAATATTTAGTGGTTTACAAGTCAGGCAGCCTTGACTGCAGTGGTCCAGTAGGCTTACAATACAAACGCAGGTAATGCTTGAAACTTCATCAGTATCAAAGATCAAATGCTACATTAGCTTTTTCTGGAACATTTCTGGCAGGGAAGTTCCTCTGAGCACCTTTGTCACTGCTGAACTCCCTACACTTGTTCTTGTTGTTTAACATTTTTTATTTTATTGAAGAAATTTTAACATAATCAAACATTTAATTACATTTTATAACTTCAGTTAACCCCCCCCCCCCCGGACTTCCCCCAACTTCCCTTCCTGGTTTATAGCATACTTGTTTCTTCTGCTTATAATTTTATATTCCTTGTATATTAAAAAGGTTGTATCATTTGTCTATTCTTCTCATTTTTACCTCATAGTTATATTTTCTGTTTGTATTTGTCCATTGTAAGTGTATTACTCGAATCCTGCCAGTGAGTTCATTTCAGTACCTTGTTTCTGTATATACATCATAAAAGGTTCCCAATCTTTTAAAAAGTCATTATTGTCCTTATCTTTCAGTCTCTCAGTTAGCTTTGCCATTTCAGCGTATTCCATCAAGTTTTCTTGCCAATGTTCTTCACACTTGTAGGGCTAGCACCAGATTTGAATCACAGCACCCTTTCTGTTGTCCAAATAAGCATTTGGTTGCTCTTTCCTTCCTTTCCTTTGGCTGTCATAATTAGACACATGGTATTTAAGGTAGATAATTATTATTAATCAAGCAGGAAAAAATATGACTAAGTAATTAATCTTGATAGTTCAGTCCCTTAACAATTCTTCACCCAATCCTCGTTCACTTCCTAGTGAAGTGTGATGTGTCACATGTCCTGCTTACATGACAGTATCTTACAAATTGTGGGGGGTGGGGGGTGTTACACACCACCCCAATTTCCAAGTGGTGAGATACTCCAGGGGTACCAGACACACTTACCAGGGTCAGTGTTTCGTTTTGGAACCATGAAGAGCACAGAAGAGTCTTGGGTGTCTTTATGATATATGGTTTATTTGCACATCTACACAACCTGTGCCAACTGTGGAGGGGTTCTGAGCATCACATCCCAAGCAGCACCAGTTTCTTCCAAAGGCAGCAGTATCCCTGCCCTGCAGCTTGCCTTTCCCCGAGAATGGCCGCATCCCACCTAGGATCATAGAGTTGGAAGGGACCACTAGGATCATCTAGTTCATGTGGGGCTTGAACCCTCAAC